ACTTGGCCCCAAGAAAAATTCCCACGGCAAAAAAAGAGGCTTTCACAGTTTACAAATAAATGTTTGAATTATGTTTTTGTGTGCAGATCACCACTGCTTACACTCACATCAGTTTTAATGCTCGGCGGGTGTTCACTGTCGGCAGGGCTCAGCCTGTAGCAGTGCACGTCTATGACTACTACAACCCCAGTAAGAAAACTTTCTTTTTGCTTATTTGTACCTCATATTCATCATCACAAACATTGCACAGTGTACATTTCATAGGTGGAGATGGACAGACAGTGACACATGTAAAATTTGAGTTTGGCCTGCATTCTGGAAAACCATTCTTCCTGAGTGTGGAACCCTGTCTATGCTTTGTAGCAATTGGGTTGACGGCTGCATTTGTGAGTGCCTGGTTAAAGGACGTACAGGCATTTTTTTGTTTTGTTTTCTACACAATCCCAAAGTGACGAATGGCTTAGCGACTGGTTTGCCAGAGGCAGATGAAATGTACCAACTGATCAATTTCTGAGACAAGAAGATAATAAGACAACAAGCCACTTTTTGAGAATGAATCACAAGATCTAACCATTCTTTGTCCTATTTTTCAACAGCTGTGGAGTGTGTTAGGTTCATTCACCCCCAGTCTGGTTCCAACATGTTGAGCACTCTTTGTGAGGGAAGCACATGTGAATGTGCTGCAGGTTGGTACCCATGCAATTCAGCATCGTTACTTAGTTTCAGCGAACACCTGTAAAATTTCCATGCACCTCCTGGCAGATTATTTAGACGGAATACTTGAATAGGGAATACTTTGCTCTACCAACTAAGCCATGTGTACATGAACTTACTGTATTGATTCTATAAGGTGTCTTCCTTTTTTCAATTTCACGAGCATACAGACTTAATAGCCATCGTATACTTTTCAAAATATTATTTTTAGCACCTTTAAAAGTGCAAGGGGTCAAGGGAAGAATATGCTTTCAAATACTCATTAAAATGACCAAAGAAAAATGGTGCGCCCTAGGTCAGTTGGTTTATCGGTCATTATTTGGTCATTTTTACCGAGTGTTTCAATATTAACATTAATGAATTTTACCCAGTACGCAACCACCGAATTTACATATGAGTGGGTCCTCCCAAATAGAATTGTAGAAGCTGGTATCCGAAAAAGGTGTGTTCTTTCGGCAGAGATCAAGTAACAGCATAAAGCTAAGCTCCTTATAAACATTCTTGTGCCTGGTTGTTTCCTGAAAACAGGTAGATGTGCTGAAGATCCATTCACCAAAATCGGTGACTTCCAAGGGAGCAAGTTGAGAGCGAAGGCATGTGAAGATGCAGAACATTTCGGTGAGCAACATTTTCTTAGTATGAAAGAAGAGAATTACATTTCTTTTTCTGCGCCCAAGTGAATAAAAAGTCTTTTTCAGCTCTTGCAAGGTACATGCCCCTGTTCACCTTAAAGTAAAAAACAAACAAACAAACACCCCAACAACCCCAACAAACAAACAAGCAAGCAAGCAAGCAACAACAAAAAAAAACAGTTAAGCTGGAGATTTTGGAGGGGGTAACTATCACCCTTGGAGTGGCAGAACGTGTCAGTCAAATCTGTATTTTTTTATCCAGTCTATCAAAGTAAGTCACAAGTCGCTCGAGCCACTTTTAAGTGAAAGGCTTGTAAGGGAACTTTACGCCGTTTAAATCAATCGGAACCCTCAACTTTTTTGATTGTTTTTGGATTGTTGTCGGGATGCCCAAATGGGTAATACCTCGGACCAAAGAAAACTATTTGCTCCTTCTTGTGCAAACTAACAGGAATTTACCAAAATTAGGGTTCAATACTCATTGTCGACATCCAGTCAGATTTAAACTTTTTGCTTCAATTATAGCCTATGAGGTGAAAGTGGTCAGTTTCAAGCGGAAAGGTGGCTTCCAGCTCATTACAATGACCATCCTGAACCCATTGAAACAAGGTGAGTGGAAGTGGCCGTACAAGGCACGATAAATACACTGAAAAAAACTGCAATACAGGAAAGCAGGCTATTTGCTCTGTTTTCTGAGTTAATAATTGTGACCCACTCCAGAAAATTGATGCCTTTCCTTTGAATGGCCCGTTAAAGTTTGAGGGGTTGAAATTTCTTGAAGAGTTTTGCGTTTTTAGTTCTGTCAGAAAATAACGTCTTTGATTATTGAAGTTTTTCAAATTTTATTGACAAATATGTTCGAAAAGAAAATGTTGGTTGCTAGGGAAATTTAATATGAGTTTTCCGAGCCAAAGTCTGTATTTGACTCAACTTTCTCAAAGCCTTCTTTCTCAGTTGCGTTAAGTTGAACTCCAAAGAGCTAATTATACACGGGCCAAATGGAAACGTACAATGTGTACTTTCCAGTCAAGCAAGTAACATATTTTCTCATTTCTGTCTGACAAGTCAAAGGTGTTTTGAGTGCGGATCTTAGTTGTACTGTGAAAGGGTAGGAGTTAATAGCCTTTTGCATAACAGTATTCACTGGAGGAACCACCCCATCCCTCTGGTCACAACTGCATATACTGAAACGAGGGGGGGGCAAGGGTAATCTTCTTCTTGTTACGAAACTTCAATGACTGGATTTGTTACGAATCTACCCCTAACTATAGATTCTTAAAAAGAATTGACAGTTTGCTGTAAATTCGTAAAAAATAATCTACACTTTGAACAAAGGAGTTTAAGTGTGCATAGCCAACATTTAATTCAATATATGGCATATAGCAAGTGGAATACATGCATTTGTTTGATGGTGCCAATAGCAAAGACATTAATGTCGGCCTCGTTCGTTGTTATTAGCGCTCTCGTAAAAGCTTGTGTTGGAAAGGGCATCTGCATACTGCACCAGCTGAAATTCAGCTTTCAGGTTTTTGCCACTTCCGGATAGGAATGCATACGGCCGGCTATGACAACCTCATTGAATTTGCCAGAAATGTGGGCCGCAGTACAGAATGTTGACAGAAATGCTTCACCAGTCTCATGCACAATGTCAACAAAAGTTGGTCGTTGCTCCTGCACCATCCAAACAGAAAGGAGTGCCAGTAATTGACTCTAACACTCCCCACTTGTGGTTTCGTTTACTCCAACATCTGTCTGCTCCCTCCTTCCCTCCCGCCCAGGTCTTGACCATGTCAAGGAGAATCAAAATCGTACCTTCTGGAAGAGTATGAATTGCGGAAAGCCAGCCATCAAGAAGAAGCGGTACCTAGTAATCGGGTCTGGCGGGCTTCCAAGCAGGGATGATAATGGGTTGCCAAGGTAGGTCACGGAATCATCAGTTATTTTATGATTAACAGAATTGAGTGTACATTCATTTATGTTCATTTTGTCCCACATTAAAAGGTACTTTCTTGATGTCCGTGGCAATTAATGAAGGCTGTGCTTTTATTCAAATACTTGGATGGTCTATCATGAATTAAATATCCAATTAGTTATTTTATAAATTGATTTTTTGGATGTGAAACCAATACGATATGTTTTTGAAAATTAAATAAATTACTAACGTACAAAATTGCATTCTTTCAACATATTGGAGGATGTAACTTCAAGGCTACCGAATGCACATGAGCAAAATAAGCAAAGATACATGAACAGCAATTAGGCTCCAAAGTATTTTTTCTTTTTATGGGGGGGGGCTGCAAAAGTATGCAAATGATGTATGCAAATTGGGCACAATTGAGCACATGGTTTCGTGCATCATTGATCAATAACTATTTGACCGCATGTTGATATAATGCTACTTCATTTCGACGTTTTTGTTACAGTTACAAGTACGTGGTTGATGAGAGGATGTCCTTCTACGAGCTGCCCTCTGCCTCCAAGATCAAAAATACCAAGAAGTGGCAGAGGATTGCAAACAGTGTGCAACAGTTCATGGATGACATTGAAAGGAACGGATGCTCGGCTTAACAGAGGCGTTACGGAAGTGGACATAATAAAGTATTATGTGTCGCAAAATGATACTCCTACTGATAGCTTTTGTAGTCATTGCAACTCAGCTTCTCTACTAATATTTGTCGCTCTCCCGTTTTGTAATTATTATATCTTAATTATCTTATCTTGTTTGAATTTGAAGGATTTTCTAAGTACTGATTGGAAAGTGAAAAGCAATGGCGTCGGTAACAGGTAGACGGTAGCATTATTAACAAGACAACGCAGCGCGTTCTACTCATGTGCAGGTGTGCCTTGTAAGAGGACTGTGGTCAGCATTAGGAGTTAAGTTTATCCTGTTCGTAAATGATTTCGTCATAAAGGCGGACGTGCCACGATGTGCAGGCTCACATTGGACAATTGCTGAAGTTGCGCGTTAACCTTCCGGTTCCATGGTTCCGTGTAAACGGCGATCAATGCATGTAACCCTATGTGCAGTGTACGTGTGCTGTGGGCGTGGTTTAAACCGAAGTGACGTCACACTTGCGAACCGGAAAGTGACGGAAATGCATGTTGACTAACGTAACAAGCGAACATTCTGATCGTGTGGCTTTGTTTGTACGGAGGAAGGTTGAGGTTACTAAAAGAAAAATAAGCGTGTGTACAGAAGAGCATTATACTGAGGAAACTTGCAGTGCAGAATTGTTTGGACTTCCTTACTATGCACACCGTTCTGTTCATTACATTTATACTTCATTATCATATGTATCGTGCATGTACTGGATATCAATTGTGTTATTAATAATGTTATGCACTGCAAAAAAAGTTCTTCATTATAGTCAGATAGATTCAAATGCCTTCAGTATCGTTTGTGAAGCAGTTGAAACTCTGTAGCGCTGGCTGCGGAAGCATGAGGGCCAGTGCACGCCCACACTTTTTCGACTGGGGGTGCGGGAGGCTGGTATGGGCTCCCCACTACTTGTAGGCCCTATAGTGAGGTGGGGCTCAATGTTAGTATCGGCCTATGAATGGCTGATGCCTGATGGTCTAACCACTGGCCCCCTCACGCTGAAATCGTTCCGCCGCCGGGGCATACAATTATAAAGTCAGGCTTGGGGGCATCATGTTAATAGGTTGAATTTTTGGCTAAGTACAATCGTGGAAATTAAGAATTTACAGGTGGAACACTGTCAAAGCCGTCATTAGATAGTTTTATGTACTGTTCAGTTGTATGCGTGGACCTTCTGCTTTCAACATCTCTCTTTATACATGTCGGTGTAGCTTATGAGCATATTATGGGAGCCACCATCATTCATTTTATTCATCTAAGACTCAACAGGTAAACCTAATATTTTTCTTGCCATTATGATGGGCTGTTTAGTCTTTGATTACGATTACACGTACTGGTTTGGTTCAAGTACTGATGCACTGTTTTATTGCTCCTTGATTTGCTCATTTTGAACTTACGAATATCCAATTCGTTAAATTTAATTATGCGTCGTAGGTATAATTCTCGTCGAAGGCGTTGTTTTAATACCAAATTGTGTTGGCGTAGTAGAGAGTAAATAAAATATGCGTAACGTGTTTATTTAAAGTTTGTGCATTTGTCTTATACAATGGAGTATGATCAATTAGCAGTAAGATTTTTGTATTGTTCGGTGAGAAGATCTTCACAGAGCGTACGTCTCTCTGTTCTTGGGTGAGATTTATGACGCCTGAGATATTAGATTACGTTTCGACTCCACGGATGGATCACGCCGGCTACTCACAGACGGCCCGGCCTATTAAATAGTTTTGTGCATGTCACGCTGCATTGTTTTCACCCTTCGTCAAATTTTAAGTATTGTCTGGTGTTCACGATCCAGCTTCACGCCTCTGTGTCTTTATCGCTTATGAAAGGGGGAGGGGCTATTCGTCTAAAGAGCACACCGCACCCCAACTCAGAAGACATTGACAGACGAAAAAAACTTCGGCAGAATAGTGGAATTGTTTCTGAAAAAAATAAAGTACTGTCGAGATCAGGAGGTTGGCTACATGTTGATAATAAAAAAGGAATGTAAATTACATGTATCAGTTTTTAAAACACTTCCGGAAGCCTTAGTGGTATAAATGACCGAAGTTGGTTCTTTTGTTTATGACAAAGGAGATACAAAATCGAAAAGACCTTGGTACAATGTTTGTCAAGTCATAATAATTAAGTTGAATTTCCCTCTTCAGTCGTAACATGCTCATTCAATGCAAGTCAAAACTCAAAAGGCACTCATTAAAATGCCTAAATTGCTGCATTTTCCAAACAGGAAACTCCTTGGAGACAAACAAAACATTAAGCAGTCTCTAGAAATAGGTGTAGTACTTCCCACGTTATTGTTCACACAAAGGAGAAATTGACTTGCCTGTTTTCCGAAACTTTTTGTAAACTTTATATCGATCATGCAAGGCTAATCCACATACGGGCGCTATTTTACAAGTGCAGGGATGCTGAACCTTTGGGTGAGAAGTTTCCACGTCCTGTTTCCCGTGAAGGTGGACGCAGTGATACAAATTCCTACAGTTTTACGTGTTCTGCAGAACTTGCTTCCCATTTCATGGCTTCTTTTCGTGACGACGTGTAATTCAAAAGAAGAATACTTTACTTTCTGTTAATTCAGATTCAGAAATTAGAAAAAAAAATTAACTTCCGAAGCTCCAGAGACAATAATTACAGTCCCGAGAAGCCGTTGTCGTAATGGAGAAGGGTTGCTGTTTGGTTCGGTGTCTCCTGATCGCAGGCTATGGCTCATCTAAGGACTCAGCGGCCGAGAGCCGAGAGGCCTTTAAAGATTGCGCATGCATCGCTCAACACGGTTTACGCATCGTCGACTGTGCGGAAAGAGGTCTCACGGAACTGCCAGTAGGGATTCCAAATGACACCGGAGCATTGTGTTATAACAAACGTCGTTACCATCACCCATGGATGATTTAGTTTAGATTCATAAGCAACCAGGGAGTCTTGATGTACTTTTGTGCTACCTTTTGTAACTTTTGCTCCCAAAACACAATCATCATATCATTGAACACTTAGAATATCCGCTTGCTACACAGGCCATGTGTCAAAAGTCAAAAATCGTCCTTGTCCTTCACCTGCAGCATTTTCATAAGAACAAAAGATGTAATTATAATGGTTAGTGTTTATATGATCATTGTACATTTTACAAAGGAAGTACACATGCGGAAACCGAGGGAAACCGAACAAAAACAAAGCAAGCAGATTGGCCCAGGCATTTGAATATCCGTGGGTAACTAACCGATCTGAACAGTATGTTCATCACCGGAAGTATCGGTACATACTATACAGAATATACGATGTATAAGGCTATATTTATTTCATAGTAGTTGATGGTCTTCACAAGGCGAAGAGTTACGTTGCCAGTGTTTGTGTGCACGCATTCGACATGATGTAATTATGATGTCGAATGTAACGGAAAGATTTCATTCATCTTATATGGGAACTCCTACTGGCTTACCTTTTTTCAAAAAAAGAAATATTAATTATTTAGTTATTTATTTTTTATCTATTTACTTTCCTTTTAACAAACGAACGTATATAGCCGAAGAGCACTGTATTAATATGTGATGCTAGTTGCTACAGAGTAAAATTAACATCTAGTTATAAAAAAATGAGCTGTGATAAGGGGGACTTATTTGATATTTTCTTTAGAGAGTAACACCAAACAAATATCCTGCATTTCACTATAGACTTAAGTTAAAAACTATTTTAGCTGACTGTGAAAAAAAATCACCCATTTTATTTAACATTGACTTTCATCCACAAAACAACTGACAATTTTCTAAGCTGAAGGCAGTGAAAGGCAGTGAAATTCCACATTATAGCAGGAATCTCATTCTGATTGAGTGATTACGGAAATGTTATGTTACATAACCTTCTTTGACAAAACCAACGGTTCTTTTACAGAAACGAGCGGTAATTCTGAGGACACCTTACGGCAGTTTGCTTAATCTTCAGTCGCTCTTTCTCCTGTAAGTATAAATTGAGTTCATTTTAACCAAGCTGCGGAGGTTTCTCTCTGCTTTGTGATTGGCTTCCCTTCCCTGTTGTTTGTATTCCTGTGGATGAGCCGCAGGGGACGAAAGAAAGAGGGCATTCTGGCCCAAGCAAATACCAGAGTTTGCTGATTAGAAGGAGCAGAGAGAAGGGAAAGTCTCCAACAGCATCCGCTTCAAATGATATTGGATCAGTTGGACCGTAGTATCACTGGGTCAACAGCACAGCCAAGAAACGAAGATGATTCTAGTCCCAATCAAGGAGACAGCGACCCATTTGTCAATTCCAGAGGGCGAGGTCATGAGGCTGAGATCAGCTGGAAAGCCTTCCTGTATGGAAACTGCAAGCCAGAGTTCTGGTACTGGGAAATTGTTGAGCTCACCCGTAAGATTGTCCAAACGTCGTTTGTGCCGTTGTACGGCCCGGATGACCACTTCGCAATGTTTGCAACCATCGCTGCATCCGTTGGATTCCTGCTCCTACATGCGTACTTGAAGCCTACAGATAGCCGTCTCCAGATGTGTTCCCTTGTAACCATCTTCCTAAATCTGTTGATGGCGTCGTTGCTTTTTTCTCCAGGAAGCAGTACCGACAGAGCCGAAGTCCTTGCTACCATTTTGGTTCTGCTTAACCTCAGCGTTATCTTGTTCGCTGCAGGTGAGCTTACTAACAAAAATTATGCATCTAGTATTGCTCCAAGGTGTAATGTATTTTGTCAAAAGAGTGACCGATTAAAGAACGTTTCATGATACTAGGACATGCAAATGGGAACTTGTTTTGTTTGAAAGTTTTTCAGAGTCCAAAATTTAATACCCCAAAACGTGCAGTAACATTTTTGTGACGTTACGTTTTTTCATTTTATATAAAGCTATTTAAAAGTCACATTTCCAATAAGTTAGATTGTTCTTATTACCATGAACACACGCAGCAAGCCTCGTCTTGATTGCAGTGAATTCGCTGAGGCGCACCACTTGCCTTGTATATTCTGCATTACTGAGGTGTTTTGCTCGTGCTGCCGGCACCATCACTCACTCGAGAAGGACAATAGAGGGATTTCACATTAGCGCCGTCTGCGCATATCCATATCGAAACGGAGGCTCTCTGTGTTGAACTTCTTCGCGCGCACCCACGGAGTCGATACAGTACATGCAGTATCCGGTTCGTAAGTGTAACGCCACTTCAGTTTAAACCACGCCCACTGCACATGCAGATACACGACCATCGCAGGTTCGTCATTTGGCGGTAAATTGCTGTTATTTTTCTTTTAATTTTACGTGTGCGATCATCCTGAAAGATTCTTCCACAAAAAAATGCAGCCTGAAAAGTCTTTATGTATTTGTGTCTTGACTCCTTACTTTCAGTCGTCTGATCGTATTAGGAACCGCAGCTGACACATACAGCCTCGTTTTCAAACGCTGAAGTGCGTAGACCGCCCTCTAAAAGCGTCGTATTGGGATCCCTCTTTGGGCGTCCGTCTGTGACCAACCAGCAAGACCCTCCCCCCGCAGTTCAAGTTTATAGGTCGCAAGGCAATACGCAGATACTGTATCGGAAAACAGTATCGAGGTCGATTAAGACTTGTCCGAGGGGTAAGGCAAAAGACATATAAGATCAGTGGGTGGATGCTGAAGGGATGTATAAGGACTTTGAATTCCCTTGGGGGAGACTGAGCTGTCCTCTCCATTCATTGAGTAGAACCACGCAAATCGTATCATGAAACTGACCGAGAGTAGTTCATTTGTACTGTAGTATCATAGCAGAATGGTGCGTAACCACCAAGCTGGGAACAGCTGGAAATAGGTGTTTGTTCAAATGTTTTTTACCAATACCTTGCAGGAAGTTTGGACTCTTTCTTTTCGAAAAGCATCTGTTTCTTACAGAAGTTGTCGTAGTGGACTTCAACTGACCAGGCGAAAAGCGTTACAAATGAAATATAAAACAAACAATAATGCAATAATGAAGCTATTGTTTCTTCCCCATTACTCACACACATGTCGCAGAATATCTTGGATCAGATGTAAGATATTGTATTGTTACCCTAACAATGAAGTATCATAAATAAGTAATAGCTACGTAGACACATCTTCTATTTTTCGTCATGAAATAGTTTTGACTGATATAATATTTCCCTCCTTTGTAGATGGACTAATGTTTTCTTTGGATATTTCTGATGTGACCGCAAGTCACATGCTTTGCAATAATGACCAAACAAAATGTCTGTTTTGCCTTTATCGGCAAATGCTTCACCATTTCTACCATAGGGTTTGTAGGCTTACAGTTTTCACACCTAGATGATTTCTGTAAGATAGTCCATTGTTTGGAGCGTGTTGCAAGAACTGATGATAAATTGACTGATATTTGTCTACTTCGGTGTCAAATGTTTGACCACATCTTTTATATTCAATGAAACCTTTCTGAACAGTTTCTTATCTCCACATTTTCTGTGATATAATCTCAGTGCTTTTAATCTTAATGTCGAGCCTTTAGCAGTGTTCCAGATTTTCAGAATGTAGAAATGGTGTCTTTTTCCATCAATTTGGGGTGTAGCCCTGATAGGGGTGAATTCCGCTCAAGGCTTTATGATGGTTCAAAAAACAGAAGTGCATTCTGTCTTGTTTAATGATCACTGACGCTGAACAAAAAGTACATGTACCTGCCGCAATCTTCTAAGAGCATGGTATATCACAAATTATAGGAAAGTGGTACCTTGTGGCACTTTCAGTGTGGTCAGTCTTGTCTTTTGACAGATAGCAAGGTAACTTGGGCATGTAATCGCTATCAAGGCCGCAACTTTTTCACGTAGGACTGGACTGGGAAGCGGTGTTTTACAGAAGGAAAGAGCATATTTCGCAATTATTCAGCTTGTTGTACGCGTGCTCTTAATTACCCGACAAAACAAGGTAAAAGTGGATTTTAAAGAAATCTGAGTGCCAGAATAAATTTAATTGGTTTTTGTTTAGTCAGAGTTAGGAGAACTGAATTTTCAAATTATTGTTCTTTTTAAATTTTAGTTGAATTTTATTTTTTAATTGAAGACAATAAAAAGAGGTGTAAGTTTTACCAAATGTTACCCCATGGAGGCAGTCATGACAAAGGGGAAGTCAGACTATACATGTATGTTTACCCAAGCCTTATTTGCAGAATCAACAAATGTTTAGCGATAAGAGAAAAACAAGCAGAAGATACAAGCTTTTATTTGTCTGGCAAATATATTGCAAGTGGTTGTTGATGCCGGGCCGAGATTAAAGTCCGAAGCAACATCCGTCATAGGTCAGTGGATCAAACCGTAGCTGAAATCAAAACATTACTCAAACACTTCAATGAATGCAATTATTTTTCCCACGATGAATATGGTCAAAGTGAACAGTGAAAGAAAAGCGTGGGATGGGAAATTGATACCTAGTATCAATTACCAAGACAACCGAGGTACAGTCTAATAGCCGACGATCCCTCTCATATCAAGAAAACACTGCACAAAACAAAGCGAAACAGAGCATGCATTGGACGTTGCTATACGTGAGAACACATCAAAACAAACAGATGTCGCCTTAGAAACGGACGGTTTAGTTTGCTTTACTAGTGCAAAGTTCACGGATTTCTAGCGTGGGCATTTGGTCTAAGGCAACATTTCATGCTTCTCCATTGTCAAGTGGTTAAATTATGTCCAACGAACTTATAGGTACGTATGCTCACGGATGTTGTCAGCAAAGTTAGATTTTCTACAATACATAGATGACGAGGCAATCTTTACATAATATAAATAATGATTCAGGATTGAGTGCACATCCGACAATTGATATACCTGCTTAACTGCAAGTCGCGGCCAAGTGGCAAGGTCTGCTGTATCTCCTTAGCTGAATTGTGGTGTTACACACGCCGACGACAAAACTGTCGTGATCGATTATGTGTTCGACACAGGGACTTCTTCAATAGTGAAGGATTATTTTAGCAAACATTGGCATTCTTAAAGGGTAATTGCAATCAGTGTTTTTGAACACAGAGCTCAAAAATATAACCTCATGTCGCAGTTAATTTTATTTCAACTTTTTGGTGTTTATGGTAATGAAAATTTCTATACTCATAATTTTAAGCGAAACAGTGATGTCGTCTCATGAAGAAGCCCAGTTACACATTGGTCTGTACACAAAACAAGTCCTGCATTTTTGTAGATTTTTGTGGACTTTGCTGATTCATTGTTGTTTATGTGCATATCAGTAAGAAGGCATTAATCCCTGTCTCAGAAATGTCTTCAAAGGAAATTCCGGGAATCATGTCTTCCTAGATGACTTCACAGCAACAGCGCACTCGGTTGTCCAGGAAAGCATGATTAATTTAAATTGCTTAATTAAAAGCATGCACTTTTTAATGCCTTAAAAGAAATAGGAAAGTAAAAGAGTTAAATACTCTGAGGAAGAATACAGAAAAAATGTGTCAAAAAATTCATTGCAACTACGCTCTAAAATTAAAGTTATGCTTGGGCATTGTTGGCTGTGCTTCTGTAAGATTTATTGGTATTTATTGGTATAAGCTGTCTTCTTCTGTAAGCCACGTAGCGGGCTTTTTGTTAGGAATAATTAGTTGTGAATTCGAAACAGGTGTGGCGCATCCTCAAACAAGAGTTCTCAGAACATTCAGACATTTGGTTAACTGACTGCGTGCCCTCTCTTAAGTTTGCTTTTGATAAATTTAAAAAGTCGTTAACGGGTAAACAAAAACAATGTTGGGTACGTTTCTTTGTGCAAGTTGGGCTGGTACGTAAATCTCAGCTGACGTCGTTACGGGCGGATCCGGCAGTTTTTTCCGGGGACAAGGCCCGACGGATATATTTTTGTATTTATTATTAATTGATATAGGCCTATGCATATAAATTGTATTTTATGTGCAGAAATGTATTTTTTCTCTAGACAATATAATACAGAAAAGCCCTATGCTATGGCAAAGCTGACATGAAATGTGTATTCCGTGTATTGAATTTTCTGGTGTGAGTGCAGGGCAGTTGACCTCTACCTCCTGGATCGGCACCCGCACGGATACCACAGCGAAGAAATAACATATCATTAGGTCCCTGTAGTGTGAACGTGATCCCCAAAACAAAAAGAGCCGTCGTCATAGATACAGTTTTTGTTTGTTTCAGCGCAAATTGCACTCTTCCCCTTCTGCGATCGACTTTGATATAGACACATGTAAAGTCCATTTCTACTAATAGAAACATGGTTTCCTAATCAATCTAACCTTTGTAATTTTCTACCTTGCAAAGTATACAGTTACAGTAGGCTGTTACCTAAATATAAGGAAAGATCGATGTAACAAGCATTCCGTGCTAGTTACATAAAAAGGTTAAAACTCAATACAAGGTAAATGTTCAGATCTTCAAAAATGTTGTTTTACAGCAATGAATGACATTTTGCTTTGAAGAATGTGTTGCCAGCTCGACATTTCATAGCCCTTTGTCAAGCCTTATTCACGTCTGGGTTAGATGACTGGACTTTGGAAGGCATTTTATAGTGATTTCCAACATTGATATTGCACATCACTGGCCTGACTCCCGACGGCTGTGCGTACGTCACATCAGTTGTCCTAGAAATTGGCAATCGACAGTCACTGCGTGAATTGAAACTAGTGGACGTTGCCACGATCTGTTATTCCAACCTCTACTTTCAAATGTGCACCCTTTAGAGAAGCTGGCAAAATGCATCGGCGAGTAGGCCTATTCTCCCAACTACTGTTCCTGGCCTTGATGTGGGCTTATACCATTAGAACTGCACAGTCACAAACCACAGCAGGTAATGTTCTCGTTTTTAAGAAAACTCTGCTAGGAGCCGAGGGCGCCTTTAGTAAACTCCATGGTTCTCATTTCCTTTACCACTTGAGATAAGGTCGGTCGGTCGAAAAATAAAATTCCTTCAAAAAATCCATGTTGCTGGTGTATAAATGACTGAATAAACCTCAATTTTCCATGTAAAGGGGCCTTTTTGTTCTCTCTGCATTTTTGATATATATCAGTGGTAAACAAAGATAAATGTATAAAAAAATCGAAAAACAAATTAAAATAAAGTTTGTGTGTATATTTGCATGCAAATGCAGGAATATACATGTACATGTTCTTATTGTTACCCGAAACCACAAAACATACCGCTCTAGACTGAGGAAGTTTGTATGCTGCTATGCAGTACCACGCTGCTCACATTGAAAATCCCCTTGTACGAGTCCGGGTCAAGAAAAGTGTAGGGCTATGCATGAACCTCAGTGGGCAACGGAAAGATGCGGTATACTGAATGTTCACGCGAACGCCGACCGTCGCTGTTTGTCGTTTGCGAAATCATAAGTTTTCAGGGCTTTTGTTTTCTTAGGTCATGCTGGCCATTTTTTTCCCTTCAGTTTTTATTTTTGGGGGGGTTAGGTCTTTTTAGCAAGATTGGCGGGGGGAAAGAAAGCTTTTTTTCCATGATCGGGAGCCCAAAATTGGGTCGGTTGGAAATAAGAACCATAGAATATAAAAAGGGTGCCCTAATCCATCCATGAATGTTTGATTTCAAATTTTCATTGAAAACAGGATGGAGTGATTAGCTATATATAAATCTTGTGGAACACTGCTCAACACGTTTAAAGAAAGGAAATATTAATTTCGTTAGTGCCTTATGTTGTCATCCTAATGTCATCCTAATTAAATTTCAACTTTGAAACCAATTACACCGATGACTGAAGTTCGTTAATATTCATAATCCAAGAAGTCAGTTTTATTTGACGGTTTAAACCGGCAAAACAGATTTTGGTCAAAAGGGTGGCATTTGATTGGCTCTCGCGTAATCGTGAGCTCGCTCTAATACGAAAGCAGCCAATCAATGTTGATGGCCGCGTCTAGCCAGAAATTTCAAGAGACACACAAACAACTGGCCACGATCTGAGAAAGCTATCGATTGGCTTCAACTTTGTTATGTTTCCACATAACACATTATTGTTGCTCCGTGCAGAATTGCAGTATATCATCAATCAGGGCTCAGTATGTACATGTCAAGGACCATAAAGCCTCATATATGAGCATACGTAACAGCCTGAAATCAGCAAATCAAATCCGAGATATATTTACTTTCCCATGTTCATATTTTAGATATTTTAGATCTGACTTTCCTCGACTTTGTGTCTGTGCACATTTGTCACGGAAAGCACCGTTGTGACAAAACAATGGCTCACGGTTGTCGTGATTCGAGCAGAATCTATGACATATACTTGCACCATATTAAACCAATAATAAAGACTTGCCGTAGGTAGGCTACACATTCATCGGGGTCATGGTTAAAACGACGTACATGCACACAGACCCTGGGAAAAAAACAAAACCACCACCACCACCACAACCACAACCACCACCATTTTATGGAGATCTGCTTGTTAGACGAGAGAAAAACAACAACAAACAACATCAGAAAAGTGAAAATTAACATAAATGATACGCTCATGCACAAACAATACTCTATAGCCAGATAATCGTCTGAGGGCTAAGTTTACATGTCGCAAAATGAACGCGTTTTTGGAAAGACATATATATAGGCACACAGACTGTAAGGCCTAGCTAAGTGTTTGGCAGACCCTAGGCACTAGTATTTCGCAGGTCCTACTCCATTCATTATGAAACTATTTAGTGATTTGACTCATATTTTTCTTGCCATGACTGAACATATTCGATATATTGATGGTGTCAGCAATGCCAAAGCTCAGGAATTGGACATCCCTTGTTCAGGGTGTAAACATTTTTATAGGGCCATATCAAAATTATATTTAATTGCTAAATTTCGTTTGAAGCGTGTACCATGCATCAGCACTTCTGTTTTCTGATTAGGAAGAGCTTGATATTTCACACCGATAACAAGTTGTAGGCAGTCAGTTATTTTCTGCTTGCTAAAATCGACATTTCTAAAGATGTAGGCCTAAAGCCAAACTTTTTCAAAATTTTCTGGGTCCTGGTTGTGGATTATTTCGCCAAGAGCCTTGGGAATTTGACGAAATGTAATTTGAGAGTGTTGAAAAATAAATGGTCTATATTGCTTGAAACCCCACGAAGCTGGTGGGGAAAATGGCTGTCTGAAGCAGCATTGAGGGTGCTAAATCTCCATAGCTTTGTGTGCAATATTATGTATCATACTTTTCTACACTTTTTGAGGAGGCACTATTTTTAAAATCTGGTTTGCATGTTCAACAGTTTGGACAACAGCAGTGGCAAATCTTTCCTCAAATATTGTTGATGGATGATTTTGAAGGATCGGTATTTGCACTGTTATGTTCTTTTGACAAGGAGTGCCTTGTGTGACATAAAAAACAGCGACCTCATTCATACGTTATTAGATACTGTCTGAGAATGTAAAACCGATGAAAAACGTACTTACATTTTCTTTGTATTATTGCAACACAGTGTCACATGCATTAAAACATGTGGAGGTGAATATCCACTGCATGTTCCCCTTAAATTGTTATTAGGCCTACTAAAGCACTAAATGGCCCTTTTCGAAACTATCTTGTTTGTTTTAAGCTGAGGGTAGGTTGACATGTGCTGTACCACTGCACATGTGTTGGGATAAAGACAAGCAAAATACGATGAATGCATTATTAATCGATGTGAAATAAATATAAACCGTAAACTCCCATTAGGTCACAATTTACAGTACGTGTACATGAAACTCAGCGTTTTCATCGCAAGTTCCGTATCACAGTTGTTTAGCCCGTTTTAAGTTCCAAAGTAATTATATGTCAAGCAAATACGTCTGAAATGGTTTACAAACATGACCTTCGTGAGCTGAGATTGTAATTTTAATACGTAAACTGCGATGATCGGGGCGGAACGTGGCCCTAGCATCTGTAGGAAATTTGAGTTCTTTGTATGCATCGGTTTCTGAGAGCGGGATAATTTGCGTTTCCGTGAATGCTGTAGAGACTGGTGCTTTTATGTCTCTACGTGTCAAGAGTAGTTGCATATGCCTTTGGTCAGCTAGATTTTAACGCATTGTTTTTTTTTCTCCATATTTGCCTTTTGGTTGTAATATTTTGCCATGTCAGAATTTACAGCGAATACAAACGCATTTATCACCCAGTTTGTCACGTCTGAATCTCTGACAAATGATGGCACATCAGTATACGGTAGGTAGAGCGTCCAACGTTTTTGCTTATTATATCCGCTGACTTTCCGGCTATGTTAGAACAATACCGGAAACGATTCTTGCGTGGTAATTATATACTGGACACAGTGGTTTGCATGGAGCTTGTTTACGCCGAGATAGAACAAATAGCCTGACTACGCGCTAAAGCACTACAGAGAGAAAGATTTTCAAAGATGCCTCACCAAGGCATCGCCTTTTGACTAATGAGGTGCGATTATAGCATTCTGACTCCCGAGTCCCCTCAGCCTCGTTTTCAGTTGCGGCAAATAAAATTTGCATAAATATTAAGAAAGGCCTACACCACCCAGTTGAAATCTATGCTACAGATGAAGGGTTGGACAGTCAGTGTCATCTCGCTAATACACTTATTGTGTATTTATTACAGAAACTACTGCTGTAGGAGGCACAGCTGTTCCAACCGGCCAATCTATGATAACCACAACGACATCAGAGGCATTCCTACAAACTGAAGGTACTTCCCAACAAAATAACCATGTTTTTCTCCGTTCCCCTATTTGGCCTTTGGAACTGAAAACAATTAGGTTACACCCCTCCACGTGTGCATTATTTTCTTCTGTTCCAGAAGCTACTACAGACGATACGATCGGTAAAATTACGACGTCCATGTCTTTTACAGAGGGAATCACACACACCAAAGGTACGTAAACTGAGGGTTCATTAATTATAAGGTGAACTAATGAACTGAATATTTTGCAAATCACCAAAGGAATCAGGCCCAAATCAACAGTTCACTGGCTCTGCTGGGGAAGTGAGGTGCCTTGGTTGAGCACCAGTACGTGGTCTACAGAGTAGGGTGTCTGGCGTCTCTGGGCTGGGTGACGATCCAGCTGTTCTGGTTAACACTGGTTCAGCCTTCCGATGTTGTCTCTCAGTGCGGTATGCCACGCCCAATTTTAAACCCTCATTAAAACCCTGGTTGAAATAAAATTTTAAATTATTACCAGCAATGCAGCTTTTGCAGCATAAACTGCACATAACATCGTGGTTATAAATACCACCAATTACGATTTCATATAATGAATCACAAAAAAAAAGAAAGATACTTACAGGCTGAAGCGATTAATCTGGTCTAGAACATGTTGGAATCAATTTTGGGGGACGAGGAGGCAAAGATAAACGTGACCACCAGCCGACAGACTGTGTGGGGCTCTTCCCAAACGCAACA